GTCCGCTGGCGCGCCAAATAAGACAACTTCTAAATTGTCCACGCTTTCGTGGTGCGGTTCGGGGGGCCGATATTTCGGCCCTTGGAATTAGCCCGGCGATCGCCTCCTAAATTAACGGGACCTGTGACAGTAGACCACTTATGTCACTGTTATAGGACGGTAGTTGTCTATGTCAGCTTTGTCCTCCTTTTCTTTTTAGATCATGCTCATCCTGCTAAGTTTCCATCCATCGGGGACTTCACCATCGATTATTATTTTGCTCACTGCCTCTCTCAAAGCATGCTTAGACTTCGGACCTTATGTTTTTACCAGCATAATTGGAATGCCATCTGGGCCTGTTGATGTACTACTAGGAACCATTTTCTCAGCCCTTTCCCACTCTCGTTGTGAAAATGTAGCCATCGCGCCACTTGATTCATCCTTGTCTATTGTGGTGCATAAAGCACTTCTTTGTTGAAATTTTTGTTGCGTGGTGTGTTGAAACACCTGCCAAGTGTAGTCGCAAGGAGTCAACATTGTTCTGACCTGCAACCTGTTGCACATTGAATTTACGAGTGAAATGAAGAAGAAAACAGAAAAGTGCAGGCAAAAATAACGATATTAAATGAGACCCTCGTCTTTCATAAGCTCGTAAAACGAAATTCAAGAGAATCAGAGCATCACGAAAACGATTTACCTGGGAACTTTAAAGGGGTGGTGCCACCAAATTTCGAGGCTATCCCAAGCCTTTTGTGGGTTTCCTCTGAAAGCAAGGACTCTCCACACGAAGGGTGGGAGAAAATAAACGCGTAGAATATATTTTAATTGGCTTTTAAAGGTGTAACTCAATGCCCACTCTCACGATCTAGACCTATCGCTTGCGCAGCAACACTATGGAGGGAAGTTTTAGAGTAGGAGAAGCTACATCAGTTGTGACGTCACATGAGATCTGTAGTGACGAGTGTGTTGCGTCCCTTGCGGCGAAACTGTGCGTCCGTCAACACGATGGATGGATGGATGGATGGATGGATGGATGGATGGATGGATGGATGGATGGATGGATGGATGGATGGATGGATGGATGGATGGATGGATGGATGGATGGATGGACGGACGGACGGATGGACGGACGGACGGACGGACGAACGGACGGATGGATGGATGGATGGATGGATGGATGGATGGATGGATGGATGGATGGATGGATGGATGGATGGATGGATGGATGGATGGATGGATATGGCTGTACCCTTTAGATCGGGTGGTGGCTAGTGCCACAAAGCCGTAATACTTAATGAACCAAAAACTAGATTTATTTTTTCCCTTAAATAGTGAGGTTGAGGATTCGTACTTTGCAGCGAAGGGTTCAATTTTCACTCGTGCCTTGACTTTAGCCACCAATCAGATAACCTCCTTCTAGTTAATTCTACCCGCTAAAAGTCTATTTTGCCCTCACTGATCCTAAACCCCAGTGCTTTGAAAAACTCTGCGCCATCAACCTGAACTACAGGGTGAAGACCTTTACAGAACATTATCAAGTGTTCGGCAGTTTCTTCTTCCTCTCCACACGCACTGCATACCGTGTCTACCCCTTCGCATTTGGCCCAATATGTCTTGATTCACAATACTCTTGTCCTGGCCTCCAACAGTAGAGAACTACCCCGAATATTATCATAGATCCTTTCTTTGGCGATTTCCTGCTTAAAAGTTCGATAGATCTCTAGTGCGGACTTCTTAATCATGCCAATTCTCCACATATCAGTATCAGCTTCCTTCACCTTCTATTTAACCGATAAGTCTTTCTGGTTTGGCCCCCCGCTGTTTTTTAAGTATTTACCAGTCAATTTTCTGGTTCGCTTCCTTCATTTTGTATCGACATTCTTCATGTACAAGTAGCCGAAAACCTTCGTAGCCCAACGATTATCCCTATCCCCCATTTCTGTCAATCGCTTCTCAAAGTTTATCTTGCTGCTAGCTTCCCTGCCCTCAAATGATTTCAATCCCATATCACCTTGTACTCCCTGATTTGGTGTATTTCCGTGAGCTCCTAAGGCAAGCCTACCTATTCCACGTTGCTTAATTTCTAATCTTGCTTGAACTTCTGATCTCATGCACAAGACCGCATTGCCGAACGTCAGACCAGGAACCATGACCCCTTTCCATATTCCTCTCACAACATCATACCTATTGTAATTCCACAGTGCCCTGTTTTTCATTACCGCTGCATTCCTGTTACCTTTAGTCGACACATATATTTCGTGTTCCCTTGGTACTCGGCCCCATTATTTATCCATACGCCCAGATATTTGTATTTATATGTTATCTCTAGCGTGACCTCCTGTATTCTAAGCTCACTACCTTCATTGTCATTAAAAATCATGACTGCTGATTTTTTCCTTACTGAATCTGAAATCTAACCTATCTCCTCCCTCATTACCGCAGATGTCCACCAATCTCTGCAAATCTTCCTTGTTGTCGGCAATTAGCACTATATCATCTGCGTACATCAATGCTGGTAGTGCCTATTCAATGAGTTTTCCTTGTTTGACGAAAGAGAGGTTGAAGCTCAGTCCACTTCCCTCTAATTTGGCCTCTAATCCTTGTAGGTACATCATGAATAACAAGGGTGACAGAGGACACCCCTGCCTAAGCCCCCGTTTCACCTCTGTGGGCTTAGATACCTGTTTTTCCCACTTTTAACTACCTTGTTACTTTTATAGATCTCCTTTAAAAAATTAGTGACTACATCTTCCAAGCCTAGTGTGTCCAGTATTCCCCACAATTCCTCTTGAACCACGCTATCGTACGCTCGCTTGATATCCAAAAATGCTAGCCACAGGGGCCTGTGTTCCTTTTCTGCTATTTCGATGCACTGCGTCAGTGAGAACAGATTGTCTTCCAACCTCCTCTGTTTCCGAAACCCATTCTGCAGTTCCCCCAGCACCCCCTCATCCTCTATCTATGCCTGCAGTCTTTCCTTTATAATCTGCATCACCAGCCTGTAGACCACTGATGTCAGTGTTATAGGACGGTAGTTGTTTATGTCAGCTTTGTCCCCCTTTCCTTTATAGATCATGCTCATCCTGCTAAGTTTCCATCCATCGGGAACTTCTCCATCGATTATAATTTTTCTCTCTGCCTCTCTCAAAGCCTGCTTTGACTTCGGACTTAATGTCTTCATCAGCATAATTGGAATGCCATCTGGGCCTGTTGATGTACTACTAGGAACCCTTTTCTCAGCCCTTTACCACTCTTGTTGTGGAAATGGAGCCATTGCGCCACTTGATTCATCCTTGTCTATTGTGGTGCATAAAGCACTTCTGTGTTGAAATTTTTCTGTCACCCTTGTTTTTATATATTCAATAGCTTCATCCCCTTCTAGCCTAGCACCTTCAGCTGTAGTTATAAACCTCTGCTCTAGGCTCGTCTCATTTCTTAGGGAGTTTAGATGGTTCCGAAATTTCGCAGCTGCCTTTCTATCTTTTTTATGTACTTCTGCCAGCCACTGGGCTCCCTTTCTTCTAATCTTTTCATTGATCAGAAGGGATGCATCCTTTCTACAGCTTAGAAAGATTTGGCATTTTCTTTCAACATCACCTGTCGGTTCACCTCGTTGCTTAGCATGTCTGTGTTCCCTAGAGGCTTCCTGACGTTTTGCTATGGCTCTCTTAACTTCCTCATCCCACCAACTTTTGGGTTTGTGTATTCTTTTCCGGGGTGACTTGTCACGTGCCTTAGCAAGCTCTAGCTCAAACAGTCTAATTAGATTCGTGTATGTCCACACTGTTTTATTACTATTATCCCCAGTGATTACTTTCTCAATTTGTTTAGTGGCTATTTCAATTTGCCTTTCTGAATAAAAATTTTCCTGTAGTTGCTCATCTTGTCTCCTTCCCACTTTCACTGCTCTTCCAAAACTTAGCTTGATACGTTTGTGATCACTACCCAGACTTCTGGAGCCACCTTCATCTATGCGCATTCCCCTGAGCTTATCATCCTATGTGACATCAGTGCGTAATCTATCGTCGACTGCAGCCTTCCTACCTCCCATGTTATTTGCCCTTCACACTTCTCGGTACTGTTGCAGATGATCAAATCCAGCCTTTCACACATATCCATGATCATTTTGCCTGTCGGGTCGGTATACCCATCTATATCTTCTATGTGTGCATTCATATCTCCTAGTATAACTATCTCGCACTCTCCTCCTAACTCCTGAATGCCCTTCGATATACACTCTACCATTGCCTCGTTTTCCTCTCTGGCCTTTGCTCCCGTCCACAAGTACACGAAACCAAGGAGTGTCATTTGCCCTGCCACTTTCCCTTTTAGCCATGAATGTTCCTTGCACTCCTGCTTGACCCTTTGCCAGTCTGTACTTTTATGAATGAATGCCCCAATACCTGCCCCCTTTCTGCTGCCTTCTGTTCTATTACAATATTCCCACGCGTAGTCCGCATTGTTAAGAGGTTGTTTTATGTCCCTGAGATGTGTTTCTACAAAACCGTATACCATCGGCCTCTCCCCCCTTAGCTATTCTTCTATCTCTTCCCACTTCAGCCTGTTCCTACCGCCATGCATGTTAATATACCCTATGTCTTAAATGGCTCGGCGCTCATGGCTACGTTTATTTCTACCCCGGACTCTACCTATCTTAGATACTGGTGCCACTTTGGAATCGTATCTGTCCATACCACCTGTCAAAGAGTCTCCCTGGTTGTTTTCCTCGTTACTAGCTATCCTGCACCCCAAGGGGCTCGCTTGCCCGCCAAAAAAGCTACTGCGCGTCCTGCAAGTCGCCATCCCACCTCATGACCTAGCCGCCCATCGAAGTGAATTCTGTCTCGTTGAAAACCACCCCAGCTATGCACCTCTCTGTTTATTTCCACCACCTCAAAGCCTTTCTCTCGACTCATGCGCCATATCTCTTGGTTTGCGTGTACAACCGCTCTTTGCAGGTTGCTATCACACACCACCCATTTGCAGCGCCTCACACGGCAGCCACCAGCGTTCATCCAGTCTGGTGCCTCTAGGAGGCCATAAACGGCACACTAGCATGTATATTCTAAGCATTGTAGTATAACCACATAACTCATTGAAATACTGCGCTAAGGTGCATGCCATGCTCCCGTGTGATTCCTTTGTACACGTGAAAATATAGTTGTTCTCACATTGATTCAGGTATTTGTTTTTTTTTTTCTGTGCAAGCACTGCAGGTTTTCTTCGCATCTGGTTGCAGAGTGGTCGGTGTCGTGTTCAATAGTGTCGTGTGAAGCAGTCTGCTACGCACTAGGAAACGACAAGAATGGCCAGCGTATTGCAAAGAGTAGGGCTCCTTTATCGAGAATCGGAAGAGACGCGTTGTTTACGTGTTTCGACTTCTCGATCGAGAAAAGATGTCAATAGACTCCCGCGGTCATAGGCGTTATCTAGTGTTAAAAGTTTGATTGTTTAGTGTAAAACTGGTGCTATTGTTTTTCAGATATTTCAGCGTCTTTGGGGCAACCAAAACACGCCAGCCACTATGTCGTCTGCATCAAGCTTCATCGAGCAAACGTTGGATAGTAGCCCCGTTGTCATATTTTCGAAGAGATATTGTCCATACTGCATAAAGGCTAAACAAGTAAGTTGATTCGTTACGTCCCAAGTGTGCCCTTTTGGCAGGGGAATGTAATACCAGCGTTACGCGCTCACTGTTTTATAGCTATCGGGCCGAATCGAGTGTTCTGATCGCGATGGGCTCCTAGAAATTTGATCGCTGTCAGGTTTAATTGGGATCAAACGTTCGCCTTGTGAAGTCGGCATGATACATGATCGTTGGACGTAGTGAAGGTCAAAATGCCGACACCTAGGCAACACTGCGATGAAATTGAACGCACACATCAGTTGTGAATATGAAAACCTGCGAAATTATGACAATAAATCATTGCCACGATAAATATATTATGCGTAATCGCTGATACTGTCGTTCAAAGTTGTCATCACTGCCACGTCTACGATTTCTAGGTGCAAATGTTCTTGCTCTTGGGGAGACAACTACCACTTTTGTGTACAAACATTTGGCACTATGCTCTGATCATGCTATCCACCGCCCGCCCATATTAGCCATATTCACGCGTGACGGTGATCTCCGCGTTTGACCCAGTCATACTTGTTTAAACCTGTGTTTTATCTTTTTATAGTTTGAATTGTTTTCTTCATCCACCGAGGTGGCTCAAGAGTGTAAATTGGTGTTGTGTTATAATTTCCTAAATCACACCTGAGGCAGCTGCATTCTGCAAATGGCATAATGTTAAATAATGGTGTTGTAGGGCTAGTGTGTTGTTGGTGTGGCTCATTGACGTAATTCACTGAAGCATGCTTACTATTGAAATTCAGTCATTAATTTTGATGCTGAAGCAATCAGATGAGTATACAGGTGAGGCCCGTAGTCAATGGGGGTGCCTTAGCCCCCCCCCAAACACACACACACAAACACAAAATCCTGGCTACGGCTTGATACAGGTTCATTCAATCCACCTGTACCATGGTATACTGAGTAAACGCATTAAAGCTGCTGGCAGCTAGCACCACATGATGCCTGTGGTACACAGAGTGTTCCACATCCATTACTCCAATAGTACATCAATTTTTTTGGGTGAAGGCGTCTGACCTGTATGTGCTCTACGTTACCTGAAGGCATCAGAGGTGCCGGGAGCTACGACATGATACGTGTTGTACACAAGTTGTTCCATATCCATCACTAGACAGCCTACTTGTATCTGAAACCAAAACCAGGGAAACATGCAAGTTATAATGTCCTTTCATAAAATGTGTTTGCCGTCAGTGTTTCATATTAGATGTGCTTTTTTTTAAAGAACAGAAGTTTATCGCACAAATTAGTCCACTATGATCATTCTAGGGCATTTTGCAAATGTGCAATATTGAATTTTGAGTCTTAAAGGGCCCCTGAACCACCCAGCGGTCGAAATTTAGTTAAGGTGAGGAAGTTGTGCTCGAGTTTACAACGAACACGTAGCCGTGAAAATTTTTCAAAACGATGCCTTAATAGCAGAGTTACATGTGTGTGATGATCGAAACGCGACAATCGCTTCTTTCCCTCTTTCCTACGCTACCCTCTTCCAAAACTGCTTGGCCCCTCCTCTCTGAGTCAGCTGAGTGCCCCTCGTCATCTCGCGTGGCATACGTCACCGATGACGTGCTGTTCGAGACAGCGTCTACTTCCGGTTGCCGTGATCCGCCACTCCGACGGCCCAGCTCGCCGTCAACTGTGTTGTGTGTGTCATCTGGGTGCACTGATAGTTGACTAACCGCTGTTGCTGTCATGCTGGCCCGTGCCCCTACGCTAGCGACTTGGCGGTTGCGTTACGAGCCGCAGATTTCCATTCGCAAGCGGCAACACAACCAAGAACAGCAAGGTGCGCGCAAAGAGCTGTGTGCAGAGTGACCGGATGTCGTCGGTTGTCGTTCGGCCAATCGCAAGCATTGAAATTGGTGACGTCATCGAGTTTCACTGGTGATGTCACGCATGCGGGAATGGCGGTGACCGGAAAGGAGAAGCTATTGTTTTTTCGAAATTGTGGCGCGCCCGCTACCTGTAGCGCTGCGGCTTGTGGCATCGTTGATCGCAACGGCATTCTGCACGCGATGCGCTTGTTTACTTGAAATGTTTGAGAAAATATTGGAGGGTGTTTAGGGGCCCTTTAAAGATATTCATTTTCACTGGCATAACTGAGCTATTGCTAACAATAAATGTTTGCTCAGTAGCTGTAAAGTCAGTACTGAGACCCACCTCCCAGCTATACAGAGCGTGTGTGCTACAAGTTCAGCCTTGCATGCCCCTCTGCTGGCATCATGTCATGTAGGAAAATGTGCCTTCATATTATTTGCAGAAGGAGGACCAAACAATGTACATTTGTGAAGGAAGTGCTATCTTCATAAATGTTGTTCAACTGCCTTACTTTAACGTCTATGCAGCAGTAAATGTAATGTAACTGTGGGCTTTTACTTGTTAAAAGCACAGTATATATATTTGGGGCATGCTGTAGTGAGCAATTGCACATTAAGCTGACAACCTGTGGTTCTTTCACATTCACCTAAATTTGAGTAGACGGGTGGCATTACATTTCACCACCCTCATAATGCAGCTGTTTTGCCAGAAAGTGAACTGGCATCCTTGAGTTTAGTAACATGAAACCTTACTTGCTAAGCTGAGGTCTGCAACAGTGAGATGCTGTGTTTGAATACAAGTTTCTACATTCTGTTGTATAAAAACAAAAAATTACAAAAATGCAGCCATATAGCCAAGTCTGATTCTTCTATGCCAAAAAAGATGAAACATAGCTCAGTTTGGCTATTAATAGTAAAGTCTGGCAACACTGTAGTATAGCATAAAAATCTAGAATTACTAAGAGCAGCTTAATCACAAGATACATTTTGTTTTGTGGAACAAAATCTGCTGTTTAGATGTGAAGCCTATGAACCAGGTAAATCTGAAAATACTAAAATAGAAGCCGTGTTGCAAAGAGTTCTTGCTCCCCATCTAGCAGTCGCCTTCTTGATTTTGCTCACGTTTCTACTTCACATACATGACTGCCTCACGGCTCTTATGGTTATTTGGGTGAGTGTAGTAACTTATTTGAAGTCACTGGTGGGTTTCCTGTCGTGGGCAATTGTACTATATCACAGTTTGTGGCAGCTCTGCAGTTTTATTACACACATAGGCATTTATTCTTTCTCTGTATTGCAGTAGTTATAAAAACATATTTTACATCTATCATAGTGGATAATTAGTAGTTTGTACATCTCAAAGACCAGCACAATCTCGGTAGCTGCCTTGAGCCAGTTCTGTTCCGTTTGCCTTTAAAAAGTGACTTTACTTCTCAGCAGTGAGACATATAAAAATTTACATGGTTGGATGTCAATAGCTGTAGATGGGTAGTGTTGTACCCATGTCAGTTTCTGATGCAGAGGCGTATGACACAATTGTTTATGTCCATTCAGGCCCACTTTCTAGTACACATAAATCCTGAAACATGCAACACCTTGAAAGGCCCCTAAATTAGTTTGAGCTTGAAATTTGAGAATGTGTTACATAGTGGCAGATGTATTCCATTATGTGATGAACGTACAGCTGGAAGTTTTTTAAGTTATACCACAATAGGCTACATGCGCCTCCAATGGTGGTGCTCCGAATGCTGCTGCAGTGGTGTGAGCAAATGGACTTGCCTTTTTTACTGTGCTCAATCCAACTTGCATGGATATATTTTCCCTCCTTTGATCACACTCTGTGTGCTTGGGCAGCATGGCATTTTTTGCTTACAACTGTATTTCTATGCATTATTACAAATTCCAGCTCTAGGAAGTCAACAGACATCTATATTAATTGTATCTCCTGCATTCCCACTGCTGTCCTGGTGAAGGATAGGCTCTTGTGACTGTGTAGTGCAACTCCTTGGGCCAGCTAATGATAAACAACATGTGTAAAGAAGTAAATTTCATACCGGTCGGCTTCTAAACAAAGCACAGTTTTAGGCTCATCTGGAAAAGTTGTGTGTAAAACGGGCAGAATTTAATTGAATACAAGGTTTATATTTGAAATTTATATTATACTTATATTTCTCTTGTATTTATAGTCATACAATTTTATGTATGTAAAACTTTTGCTTACAAGAACAATCTCATAATTCTACTAACGAGCAGGTCATCTCAAATATTAATTAGACAATGCTCCATAATTTTATGCACTGGTCACATGCTTTGTACAATTTTCTCAGAAATAAATCTTAGGTTCAATAAAAGAGCTTTCTTGTATATTGATCAGATTATAATACTAGATTGCTTTACAGGTTATATGCAAGAACGTTGTGTGTGGAAAAAAAAAAATCTGCCAACACTACCCCACATCTCCTTTTCTCGCAGTGTGTAGTGCTAGAGCTAATTAATCAGTCATGTACAAGCAAGCCAGAACTTCTTGACACTTTTTTTTTTTTCAAGCACCCTTTGGCCACAATCGTCTTGTGCACTGCTAAATGCCATATATGTTTGTTTTAACTTCAAATATGTATGATGCCCATAGCGATTACTTAGTTTATGAATGGCATCTAAGATCATTCATGGTTTAGCTAATGTGTTCTTGAGCACAATAACTCTTCAAAAACAGGCTGGCGAATCATTAAAAATGTGCGACGGTCACAGAACAGTCGTGACAAAAAAGCTCGTGCTGTCACACATGTACAGTTCTCACAAATTCAAATGTGACATCAAATTTTTTTACTATGATGGTTGGCATTAGCAATTGCTTGAGATAGCCACGCCACGTCACAATGAATCTTGTCCCTAAAGATAATGTTGGCTCTGATCTACGTGTTTGAGTCAAAATGATACCAATATAACTCTAACTGAATATGGTGAAAAGGAAGAGTGCGCCCAGAGTTGTTCTGCTTCGATCTCTGAGTACTGTACACACTGATTGCTAGATGACACCAGGGGCAACCAACAGTAAGTGTGCAGTTGACTACAACCAGCATTATTTTGCGGTGCATAGTGTTGTTGAACATTCTGTAGTAACTGTTCTACAAGTGTGCTGAATGATGTTTTCATAACTTGACCAGGGCAGCTTAAAGTCCCTAGATTTTTCCTTTTTACCTATGTAGCGACAACTGTCTCATTTCCTGACTCTCTCTCACATGCAGCCTGCATGTGCTGCTATGTTCTTCATAACCTGAAAGACTTACAAAGCCATGTATGCTAGCCACACACCTTTCAGCGGACAATATGCAAACGCAATATGCGTTTATCTCACTGCAAATCCACCATTATTCTTTTTCACGTATCACTGGAAAAAATTTAGGGAGACAATGGCTACCAAAAACATACTTCACCCAATGAGATTTGTCGGCCCTTCTTCAATGGTTATCACTACTTAACAAAGTAGATAAAAACAATTTAGGGACTGTGGGGCAGCCTTCGCACAGTAAGAACTCATGAAATGCAGCTGTACCATCTGTCTCATTATGCCCAAAGGGGTGCCACTCAAAGATCTCTAGGCTGATAGCAAGGTAACGGGCATTCAGCGATTGACCATACGACCGCTTTGATTTCTCACTCGCCTTCACTACTCTTGTTCTCTCTGCATGCTCCAAGTAGTACAGCGAGAGCTGTAGGCTGGAGTCCAAGTATCCATGCAAAATAGAGATCCAAAAGTGTTTCTCTATTATTATCAGACTCTGCACAGCACTGGCTGAATAGAACGCTTTCAGAAGGATAACTGGCCCATTATGTGTGAGCTCCCTTCCATTTTGAGAAGATAGTTAGTTATCCTGTCTCCCTTATGTTAACCAACCAGTAGCTTTTACCCTGATGATGCCGTAGACTGCTGCTATTATGACGTGTAATAAAAGTAGGGTAAAAGGCAGTGAATTTTTTCCGTGCAGCTTTCATGTTGTGTACAGCACAAGAACAGGTGATTATCATAGTATTCTGCAGTTTTCTTTATTTATTTATTTTGTTTATTTGTTTATATTTATTTAAAATGCACAAAAATGAGATAGCTTGGGGCCCTTTATCATATGCATTGTGAGCAACCAGTCACACCCTGCTTATGCTTAGTTTACACTGGATGCTAGTTAATGATGTCTTATTTAGTATGAGTAATGTATGTTGCTTCTAAACGTGTGTGGTGTCCGATCTATTACAGGTATTTGACGATCTTCAGGTATCTTATCACACTGTTGAGCTTGACGGTAGGGCAGATGGCAGTGACATACAGAAAGTTTTGAAGCAAATGACTGGTGCCAGCACGGTAAGATAGCATAATTTTGCCTAGTATTGATGCAACTGACATAACTTCACCTATTTTAGGTCCCTAGGGTGTTTGTGAACAAGCAGTGCCTGGGTGGTTGCAGTGACTTGGAAGAAATGTATGAGAACAACAAGCTACAAACACTACTCAAGTCAAATGGATTGCTGCAATGAAATTTGACTTAAGGATGGCAGTGTATGGGTGTGCTCAATATTTAAAAAAATATGTAATAAATACTTTGAATAAAATAGTCACCAATGTGCCATTTAGTAAATTTTATTTCTCCTCAAAACTATAGCTATTCGATACATACTCTCAATCCATATATATAACTTATCGTAGGAAGACTACATAAATAACAAACATATTACAAGCACTATGAGTCAGCTCAAGGGGAATAAGTACCATTCATTCCCTTCGAGCTTACTCATATTGCTTGTCAATAAAAATTCTCAAAACTTTAAACAAGGTAGCTTTTGTCCACTACGCTAATCCATGCACAATAATGTGTGTTCTGTCCTTGCTGCGATTGTTACATACAGTGTAACATTTTATGTATTTGGCCGTGGCCAGACTAGACTGCAGACTCTACACGTTTTTGTGCAGTGTCTCCCCTTCTCCCTGCCACCACGAACCACCTTAAATGCTACACTGTGCGTAACAATTGTAGCGAAGATGATACACACTGCCATGGTGCATGAATTAGTGAATTGCAGAACAGCCACCTTGAAGGTCTTGCAACTCTTCTATGTTGCTTATAGTTCACCTGAAGTAGAAATCTTAGCACAGCAACATTTGTAGTACTATTTGGCAGCAAATACTTATTTGTGGCTCTACGCCAGAGACCCCTCCCTTCGGTGTCCGAGCAAAAATGAGGCTTTAGAAAATGGTTTGGCACTGACTATATTGTGCCTACAAATTGCTATCTCTGTCATTTGTACCTATACTGTACTTTCATATTCTGAACATACTTGATGAGGCACTTTTTGTTTTGAAAGCTCATTAAGTTATTTCTTCAAGAGATGGCAGCATTGGCAGATACTGCTGCTAATGGCACTATACCTGAATTTGCATTCACAATGTTATTTAGGCACTCGAGGGCCCTTCACCATCAGCTTGCACCATTTAAAGGGATCATGACATGGTTAAACTACCAATCCCAGTTTATCATTGCAACTGAAAATAGAGGGTTTGACATTGTTGGTCACACACAAAAGATTGGTATTTATATGCTCATTGTACCTTATAATTTCAGCTTGAAAGCACTGCTCCAAATCTCAACAGTCGGCATGGACTGTTGAACTTCATGAAACGAACTGCTGTGTTGCCTGCTTTGAAACAGTGTTGTACAGCATTGGATGTATCGTGGCGCACTCTTCACACGTTCTGATGCCCAAGAGCACCGCAAGGGCATCACCATTGAACTATGTCCACTGTTTCTTATTCTGTACAATAAGATTATGCAGTGGACCACCGAGATGCACCTGGGAAAACAAAGTGATAAATGGTGGTTACAATCACTTCCTGTTTTACAGGTTCCAAAAGCATGGCTTTTGAAAGTGCTGCCTGTTACCGACAGAGTCATTTAAGGCAATAAGAGTTAAATATGTCATTTATTGTGCTTGCCACTATGACATACAGTTCCACCACCACATTAAAATAGTCAAACACAATGATTTAATAGCACTAAACACACTCAATTTTGCTAACTTGCTGTGGAATGTGTACTGTTTAACATAAAATGTACGATACAAGCTCGAAATATTAGTGTTTTGGCTCCTTTAGTTACTCCTCCCTATCCTTTTGTTTTTCTTTTCCTCTTCTTCCTTGAGAAAAATGTCATCAGAAGCTGTCTGCATCGGCCGTAGATGCACAACTGCACGTTACTCCCAACATGGATATTTGAGATAAAAAGGCAACAAACTGTGTGAGCTCCTTACTGCAGGTACATTATTTCGTGTGGGATAGGGGGCATATTTCTTTTTTTTTTTAAACAAAGCTTCTCAAGCTATGGGTCATTCCCTCGATTGATATTGCCACCAGCACGTAGTGGGTCGACAGCAAGAGCGGCTCTCAATCTGGAGGAAAAAGAAGATCGCGTGTCTTCTCTGCTCGAGAGCCAGCCACGACTGACGCATCGTCCTAGAGCTAGCTACCCGGTCGTTCAATAAATCCCCCCAGTACTTGTGACTCATCGTGACAAACTGGTGGAAGGTGCTGGGTAGCCTCACGGATGCTGCAGACCCCCCCAGGAAGCCGTAATACGAGTCCAGTGCCAGTCAACACTCCCGTGCATCGGACCAGCCGCCGAATCAAGGGATTGCCTCCGGAAGTCAACGATACTGCTCCCACCACGTCAACAAACATGACCAGCACTTCGGTACAAACCTTGGCAACCAGCACGGGAAGCACGTCGCCGAACCGCTATACGTTGGAAAGCCCACGAGCACCGCCGACGTTCCATGGTACGGAGCGCGAAGACGTTGAGGACTGGTTGGCGGACTTCGAGCGCGTAGCCAACTTGAATCAGTGGGATGACGCGGCGAAACTGGGTCGTGTCTACTTCTATCTCGAAGACGGGGCTCGCACGTGGTATCAAAATCGAGAGGAGCAGCTGACGACGTGGCCCGAATTCTGTCGTAGACTTCTGCAGACATATGCCAGCGCCGACCGCCAAGAAAGAGCTGAGCGAGCTATTCTTGCCCGCGTCCAGTCGCCAAACGAAACTGTGACCGCGTACGTCGAAGACATGACGCGTCTCTTCCGACGGGCAGATTCAAGAATGACGGAGGACAAGAAGTTGCGTCACTTGATGCGTGGTGTCAAGGACCAGCTTTTCGCCGGCCTCGTGCGAAGCCCTCCAAAGACGGTCGCGGAGTTCTTGTCTGAAGCCGTGACAATGGAAAAAAATGCTACAACAGCGATCAAACCAATACGACAGGCAAGTCAGTGGCATGTCCACTGCTGACATTTTCGCCGCCGCTGGGACCAGCAATGACTCCTTACGTGAACTCATCCGTAATATCGTACGTGAAGAGTTGCAAAAGGCTGGTGTAACACCTCATCCTACGGTTAGCTCTATTGCAACTGTGATCAAGGATGAGCTGCAGCAGGCCCTCCGGGACACTTTGCCTCCTGATACAGCTGCATCAGCTCCTGCTGAATACCACCGTGGGACAACCTACGCGGAAGCCTTGAAGCGCCCTGCTGCATCGCCGCCATTGTTCGTTCATCCTGTCCCTGCAGTTTCACTCGAGTCAGCGCAGCACATACCATACTACGAAGGCACGTACACGCCACGGCCCCTGCCCTTTGTCCGTGGTGCTTCTGTCGCCCATCGTTCGGTGCAACCACGTTCGAGCAGCACCTTCACCGCCTGCGCAGCGTGCTGGAGGCTATCCGATCGGCGGACCTCACATTAAAACCACAGAAATGCCACTTCGGCTATAAAGAACTAAAATTTCTTGGACATGTAGTTAGCGCCGAAGGAATCCGTCCCGATCCGGACAAGCTTGCCGCTGTTGCCGAATTACCAGCTCCTGTCGATAAGAAAGCCGTCCGGCGCTTCCTTGGTTTGTGCGCCTACTATCGCCGATTCATTCATGGCTTTTCACAAATAGCAGAACCTCTGACTCGTCTCACAAGGGACGACACGCCGTTTGTCTGGGAAAACGAGCAACAAGCAGCTTTTGATGAGCTGCGACAGCGCATGCAATCAGCGCCCGTTCTTGCTCATTTCGACGATGATGCTGACACGGAGGTCCATACCGACGCTAGTAACATTGGGCTCGGTGCAGTGCTCGTTCAGCGTCAAGAGGACATCGAAAGAGTGATAGCCTACGCCAGCCGCTCTCTATCCCGTGCCGAGGCGAATTATTCCACTACGGAGAAAGAGTGCCTCGCAGTCGTGTGGGCAATCGCCAAGTTCCGCCCTTACCTTTATGGTCGTCCCTTCAAGATAGTGACGGACCACCACGCCCTCTGCTGGTTGGCAAGCCTGCGCGACCCTTCAGGACGGCTAGCACGGTGGAGCTTGCGGCTGCAGGAATTTGACGTCACCATCGTCCATAAGTCCGGCCGTAAGCATGAAGACGCTGACACACTGTCACGCGCACCCCTTCTTGTCGTCAGTCAGGATGCAGAGGAAGACGAAGGCTTTCTGGGCGCCATTAGCTCATCAGACTTGAGTAAACGGCAGCGGGATGACGCAGAGATTCGTCCGATCATCGATCATTTAGAGGGCCAGGACACAATCATACCACGTCATTTATTCCGCTCGTTGCCATCGTTCTGCCTTCGAGATGGTGTGCTGTACAAGAAGAACGCTCGTTCGAACAACCGTGCCTACCTCCTGGTGGTTCCTCTAGACATGCGAGACGACGTCCTCTTCGCTTGCCATGACGAACCCACATCCGGTCATCTGGGCTACTCACGGACACTTGCCAGAGTGAGTGAGAGGTACTATTGGCCAGGACTTTCGGCAAGCGTCAAGAAGTACGTCAAGAGCTGTCGGGAATGTCAGCGCTGAAAGCAACCATCTGTTAAGCCAGCTGGTTTGCTTCAGCCCATTGAAGCACCTTGCACGCCATTCGACCAAGTCGGCATGGACATTCTCGGGCCATTTCCCCTGTCTGCGGACAGCAACAAATGGGTGATCGTCGCGACCGACTATTTGACACGCTACGCTGAAACCCAAGCGATCCCACGAGCCACGGCTTCTGAGGTAGCACAATTTTTCATGCGCCACATCGTGTTACGACACGGTGCTCCTTCCAGTGTAATAACGGACAGAGGGACGGCATTCACGGCGCAGCTTACGGACGAAGTTTTCAAACTGAGCAACACCAGACACCGAAGGACAACTGCGTACCACCCGCAAACCAACGGACTTACCGAGCGACTGAATAAGACCCTCGCAGGCATGATCTCAATGTACATCGACGTACAGCACAAAACATGGGACCGGATCTTACCTTACGTGACCTTCGCGTATAATACCGCCGTGCAAGAGACCACGCGATTCACGCCATTTCGGCTTCTCTACGGCCGCGAAGTACAGACCATGCTAGACTCCATGCTACCGTATCAAGACGAAGACGAGTTGGCAACTGACGCCGAAGAATTCGCAGAGCGTGCTGAGGAAGCCCGGCAGCTCGCGCGACTGCACATCGGCCAGCAACAGCAGGCAGACGCACGACGCTATAATACCCGCCACAGAGAAGTGTTTTACAGCCCCGGAGATCAAGTTTGGGTGTGGACGCCCGT